GGGGGGGGGGGGGGGGGTCTATTATTATTTTTAATGTAATGCCAACTCTTCAGCTGCTCTATAAAAGTCACTGGGTAAGGACATGGGCCATTTCTGGCTCATTCATCCAGCTGCTGCTCCTGCCTCCTTTCTTAAGGGCGCTCAGAGCCACGGATTAATTTGAGAAAAGGAAGATGTAGAAACAACAACAATCTTCTGCCAGGAGATCTCAAACTACAGAACAGTCTCATTTTAAATTGGGAATAATCTGCAGTAGTAACATGGGAATGGACAAAAAGATTGGGGTCTTGCAACCCTAACTTCTTCAACTTCTGACCTCACTGGTTAAATCTTATATCTATAAATATATAAGAAAAAGAATTAGTGACAAAATAGCATCATTACTTAACATTACCAGTGTGAGCTACTAGGTTTCAGAGTCAAGTCTCCACCAAAATAAACCAAAGCAGGTCATTTTTCTTACCAGAATTATTTTCAACTATCAGTCTGTACATTCTTGCAGAGAGCACTGCTCTCTTGGAAACATGAACAGCAAAATTTAAAAAAATAACAAAAAAAAGAAAAAGAGCGCACACCTCCGGCATCTTGCATTCTCCAATTAGAAGAGAAGCTGTCGGAGTCACTGCAGCAGGCATGCTGCCAGGTCTGAGTCACTAAAACTCTCTACTCCTGCGCCCTTCACCGTTTCTTTTCTATGATGCAAGATATAGATTTCTCTCGAGGAGTCTAATTCATTGTGAAGCACTGAGCTTAGTAATATGGATACAAGACAAGACAAGACAGCAAAAGGCTTGTTTCTGCCTTATCTGCTGAAGAACAAGACTCAATTGGGAAAAAAAATCCACTGTTTTCTCATATTTTTAACAACAAGAATTTAACACTGCATCAATATTTCAGATTACAGAAAAAGTTATCCAAAACAGCTTTGATATGCACTCTGTCTTGGGATAATTCACTGGTTTCATACTCTAATGGTTACTATGTACTTAGATATAGTTTTGGAGTTAGTAGGGTCGGAAGTGACCTGAGCAGATCTTCGTGTCCGACCCCCTGCCATGGCAGAAAAGAGTACTGGGGTCAAATGACCCCAGCAAGGTGTTCATCCAGCCTCCTCTTAAAGACCCCCAGGGTAGAAGCCAGCACCACTTCTCTTGGAAGTTGGTTCCAGATCCTAGCCGCCCTGACCATGAACTCACGCCTCCTGATGTCTAGTCTGAATCTACCCTCTGCCAGCTTGTGACCATTATTCCTGGTCACTCCTGGTAGTGCTTGGGGGAACAGGGACTCCCCCAGTGCCTGCTGGTCCCCTCGAACTAGTTTGTAACAGGCCACTAGATCCCCCCTCAGCCTCCTCTTGTGGGGGCTGAACAGGTTCAGGTCCTGTAGCCTCTCCTCGTAGGGCCTGTCCTGCTGCCCCCTGACCACGTGGGTGGCCTCCTCTGGACCCTCTCCATGTTGTCCACATCCCTCCTGAAGCGCGGCGCCCAGAACTGGACGCAGTACTCCAGCTGCAGCCTGACCAGTGCCGCATAGAGGGGGAGAGGATCACCTCCTTGGACCTGCTTGAGATGCATCTGTGGATGCATGACAAGGTACGGTTGGCCTTCCTGACCGCGTCCCCACACTGCTGGCCCATGCTTATCTTGGCATCAATGATGACTCCAAGATCCTTTTCTCCCTCTGCACTGACGAGAAGGGAGTTCCCCAGCCTGTAGGTATGGTGCTGGCTCTTCCTCCCCAGATGCAGCACCTTGCACTTGTCAGTGTTGAATCCCATCCTTCACCCATCCGCCCCACTTGAACAAACTAATATTCTGATTTGAATGAAAGACCAACAAGCTGCTTTTAAGGAAAAGCAAAGGATAAAAGAAACTACTCCCAAGATAGCCGATTTCAGGAAAGCAGAAAAAAAGAAGTATGTTTCTGATGGGGCTTTTTTTTTTTTCCCCCACAGCCAGCTACAAACGTGTCATACATCCAGGCCCTGAAAGGACACTGTAACATTCAGTGACCCAGAGAAGCCGTCTACGTCAAGACTCTACACTTGTTTACTTATGTACGCTGAAGGTCACAAGTCTGAATACAGAACTGGAATAAGACGAGCTCTGGGAGGTGATATGGAGGGGGGAAATGTCAAAAATTGTCTGTACACTCATTTCTTCTGGAGTGTTTAAACCTTTTAATATAAAAATAAATCTCTCTCCACCAGTTTTCCTGCCACAGGAGAGAGATACAGGGTTTCCAAAGCTCCTTTCAAATTCAAAGCACATAAGAAAATGTGCTACAGCACACACTAAACCAGTTCAATGGTACAGTAGCCACATTCAATGTCTGTCAACACCATGGGATTTGACTGGGTAAAAACTCTATTCTTCTCTAGGGCTATCTATAACTCTTTTTAGAAAGTTCGCAGGATACTTAACTTGCACTTGGAGAATCACCATTAAGACTTAATGGCGATTCTCCAAGTACAGGTTATATATTAAAAGGTCTTATTATTCTTAAGATCTTATTTCCCACAGTGCAATACTGGACCCTTCCCCCTGCTCCCCTTCATCTACACTGCAGTGCAAGTACTGCTTTACAACCTGAGTAGAAGAGGCAAATACAGTGCTCTTTTCCAGCTGTCACCATACCCTCCACAGTCACCAAGACATTACATTATTTACCTCCCAGCATTCTCTTCGGTGGAAGTGCCGGAACCATACGATATGGAAATTTCTGAAGCAGCATCTCGTGAAACACGACAAAGTCATTGTATCGCCTGTACACCGAGCATTTGAAGCGCTGCAAGAGAGGAAAAAATCCACATGCTCAGAACAGCAGCAGCATTTCAGGAATTCCTTTGCACCCCGCCACACTGAATGCAAACCTGGTTACATCCAGGGCATCTAGTACAGTTCTTGGGTTAGTAGGCCACTTACTGCAAGTAAACAGGGGGTGGGGAGAAATCAGAAAGCCAGCTGTCTGTCACAGGCAGGGATGTATCTTAACTGACTGCCTATCTTGCTGGTGGACTAGGTCCAGTGCCAAAACAAGCAGCACTGAGCTCAGCCCAGTGAGTTATGTGAGGGCATAAGGAGCCAGCAGGAGCAGCTGGGATTTATGAAAAATGTTGAAGTTCTTTACTTCAGTTCCCAGATTTTTGCATTTCTGATGTAAAGTTACAGGAATGAAAAATGAGAATACCTGGTTTGAGTAATTCAGGTCTAAAGTGGCTGAGGCAGCAGATAAGAGAAAGGATGCACATAAATCTGAAAACCTCACTTGACTGGCGCAGTAGCAAGTCAAAAGGACTGGCTGTCCCCCTACTCATCCAGACTCCGTTGGCTTTGAGCATCACCAGCACTCATTGGAGGTACTGGGTAATTTCTAGGGCTGTGCAAAACACCATCATTTTGTTTCAGCTTCTGTTTTGCCATTTCAAAGGGACAGTGTTTCATTTAGTTTTGAAGCACTGTCCCGTTTTATTGCGTCAAAACTGTTTCGTGTTTCAACTTGTTTCGATGTTTTGCCCATAGGCTATAATGGGGAATCATGAAAATGCTTAAAACGTTGTCATTTGTTGCCTGATTCAGATGCCAATTGCAGGGATGCCCCTTCTGCGGGCATAAAGCCTGCCACGTTTCAAGGAGATAGGTGCAGAGGTTTCTCAGAAACTACACCTCGAAGTCCTAAAAACAAAATTTGCTGGCAGTGACAGCCTCCTGTTGTCTGACACGCGGATGCGGGGGCTCACACCCCCGGGAGGGCTGTGGGGCTGTGCCAGACTCCACCCAGGGGTGCGGGTCCCCAGATCTGTGCCGGATGACAGGAGGCTGCTGCCTGGGACTGGTGCTAGGCACAGCCCATGCCCATAACTGGGTCCACGGAGCTCAGCCCAGCCTCCCACCACTGAGCTGCTTTGAAACTCGAAATGTTTTGAGTACCCTCATTTCATTTCAAAGCTGCTTTGGTGCTTTTTGTTTCATGTCAATTCACCGTTTCGAGCTTGAAACAGCTTCGAAAGAAAAACTTGGCAAAAATTTCGCACAGCCCTAGTAATTTCCTGAAGTTGCACAATGAGGCAAACAACTGGAGAACAAGTGACACAGCCCTGAGGGGCTCTCATATTCTGCTCTGTAGTCAGTGTAGATTTGCTCTTGCAGGTTTCCGCAGTGGCCCAAAGCCAAGCTATGCCTCTGTCGGAAAAGCATCTTTACACAGAAGGAAGAAAATGGAGGAATGGCAGCTCAGGAGCTGGCCAAACTCTGACAGACTGCACACCAGCAATTTAAAACAATACAACCTAACATACCACCAGCAAGTATTTTCAGTTCAACCTTAAGTACCACCAGCAAATTTTTGTCATATAATGTACTTATAATAAATCTGTTAATGCATAACCACTGACAGGTAGTCCACGTACTACTGGTGGTACCTGTACCACAGATTGGGAACGGCTGGCCTAGAGCAGTGTTTCTCAACCCATGGGTGTTGACCCAAAAGTGGGGTCGCAAGAATATATGAAAGGGTGGTGAACAAACTTTAAAAATGGATTCTCCTTTAAAAGGAGAAAAACGTGGGAAACCGTGGGTTTTCCCTTGCAGGCTGGCAGAAGTCCAGCTTGGGTCCCCCCCACCCGCACTCGGGG